AAGAGAGTGAGATGGAATATTGTGTTTTTTTATTGTAGGGGAATTAATAAAACGTATTGTCCTGTGTTCTGCGTGATATAAATTCGCCATAGAGTGATGAGTCTGTTTATAGCAAACACATTTCATTTTCATCAAAGGTAGGACTATAGTGACAAAGGGGAGGGGGAGGGGGAATATGATAGTGACAAGATTTCAAAAGACCGTGAATTTCATGGTGATTCATAGCGCGTGTGGTGTGCAGGTATAGTGTGTGCATGTGTGAAGTTATAGTGCGTGCGTGTGTGAAAGTATAGTGCGTGTGTGTGTGGAATTATACTGTGTGATGTTTAGTTATGGCGTGTGTGGTGTGAGTGTGTGTGTGTGTGTGTGTGTGTGTGTGTGTGTGTGTGTGTGTGTGTGTGTGTGTGTGTGTGTGTGTGTGTGTGTGTGTGTGTGTGTGTGTGTGTGTGCGTGCGTGTGTGTTGCGTCGGGCCGGGCACCACAGCCGCCACAGGACTACGAAGGCACCGAAGCATCACCAGTGTGGGACTTGCCGCGTCGCCAGACTGTCAGAGTGGCAGTGGCAGCATGTCAAGAGGTATTTCGTAATATGCAGTACGTAATCTAGTTCGCTACATCCTTCATACATTCCTCGCCATCCGTCCTGCGTCGACAGCGTGAGGGGAAAGAGCGAGGGGAGGGAGACGCCTCACCTGCCTTCCCCAACAATGATTCCAACACAGTTACACATACACACTTTTGTTTTTTTGTTAAGCACCTTATTTACACTTATGGCACCGTGACCCGGAGGATCAGGAGAAAGAGAGAGAATTTAAAAAAAATAGGAAAAGAAAGAACCTAGGAATGCGTCCTTGAAGGAGGAGGACAGGACTCGCCTCTCTTTCCTCCTTTCCCTCCCCAAAGCAATAGGAACTTTTTGTACATAACATCTTTGTCGTCACTTCGTAAAAACACCTTTGGCATCGCGTTGGCACTGTCATACACTGAGCTTATCCCTGAAGATGAAGAGCCGTAGCACCAATTGGCACTGCTCGTCTGCCTCAACCAGCGTCCGTGGCACTGTCAGAGAGGAGCCACTTGAAAGGAAGGAGAAAGTAGCAGCGCGAAGTCTGAGGAACTTTGATTATCGTTCACGTCTCTGGTCGATTTTTGAGGAGTTCTTCGCCGGCGGAGAGACGCAGAGGGAGACGGGGAACGGACGTCGCTCGACGCGTGGCGCGGCGTCCCGACGGTCTGCTGAGGCCTCACTGACGTCAGTGGCACCGCTTTCGCCGTCCCTGGCACCCGAGCGCCCTCCGCGCCCTCAGGAGACGCGGACGGCCAGCCTCGCCGCCGCCCACGCCCCCGCGACGGCCAGGGCGAGGGCGAGAGGGCAGGGCGGACGCGGGGCGAGGGGCGCCGCGCTGGTGTGGGCGGGGGCGGCGAGGGTGAGGGCGGCCGCGGGGAGGGCGGACAGCAGGCGGGGCGAGCGCATCATGACGGCGCCCGCGATGCGCTCCGCCTCCACCTCACACGCCCGCGCCACGAGGGGCGGCGGGGGGGGCGCCGACGAGGAGGAGGAGTCGGCGTGGGCGGCGAAGGCTCCGCGCGCGGCCGAGGGCGTTACGAGCAGCAGCAAGTGCCCCTCGAGCGTGATGTGTCCGCGCACCTCGCACTCGGACACCGACACGTGGGCGGCGAGGGCGGCCACGAGCGCCGACGCCGTGAGTGGGCGGCGCGACGGCAGGGCCACCGCCGCCACCTCCACCGCCCGCGTCGCCCACGTCAACGCCACGCCGCCCCCGCACACGCGCCCGCAGCACCAGCCCGAGCTCGTCACGCCCACGCACCTGGAGAGGGAGAGGGAGAGAAGAGTGGGCGTGAGAGATGCACAGAAAATAAATGAAATAATATATTCTCTGTAGATTTGTTATACCTTAATTTTCTTATCTAATCATCTATCTATATGTCTATACATTTATTTTTTATCTTTTTTGTGGCGATGGTAACCATGATGGCGACGGAAGTGGTGGAAAGAAACGGGAACAGGAATGACGATGACGGCGAAAAGTCCCGTAGATTTACAAACACGGATAAACGGCACTGGACGGGCACCGCACAAAATACTGATACGCTGCACATTAAGGCCAAGGACAAAAATAATAACAACCACAATAACAAAGACGATTACAAACAATAATGCCTATTTCTCCAATCAATATCACAACTACAACAAAAACAATAACAACAACAAAAACAGTAACAAAAACAACAACAAAAACAAGTACAAAAACATCAACAATAACAAAAAACAATAACAACAACAAAAACAATAACTAATGCAAAAACAATAACAATAACAACAAAAAACAACAACAAAAATAACAACAAAAATAATTCCAGAGCGCAATTTCCAACCGCACTAATAGCACTCTGAACCATTCTCGCGCATCCGGCAACCTGTGCAAATGATTCTTTTGATGATAATGAATCAGAATTTTGTTCGGAGGATTATCTCGTAATCGAGTTATGGCTGAATAACGTGAAGTTCCAATTATTCAGTATTCATTTGCGATATTTATCTGTAGAGATATCTGTATGTAGAATTTATGTGTATGGCTTATATGTTACGTGTGTTAGAATACATATGGGTAAGATCGCGCGGGAGATGAAGAGATAGATAGAGAGACTATATACATACACACACACACATACACACACAAACACACACACACGCGTACACACACACACGCACGAACACACACGAACACACACACACACACACGAACACACAGACACACACACACATACACACACGAACACACACACACACACACATACACACACACACACACACATACACACACACTAACATACACACACACATACACACACGAACACACACACACACACACACACACACAAACACACACACACATATATATATATATATATATATATATATATATATATATATATATATATATATATATATATACACACACATCTGTATACATCTATATACTTAAGTATATATGTATATATATATAGATATGTACATATATATGTATATGTATGTGTATATCTATCTATATCTATATATGTATATTTATATATATGAATATATATATATATATATATATATATATATATATATATATATATATATATATATATATATATATATATTTCTATATCTATTTATCTATATCTATCTATCTATCTATCTCTATCTCTATCTCTCTTTCAGTAAAGAGATCAATGAGATAATAACACGAAAGCGGGAAGAAAAATTTTATGCCTGGGCAGAATCAATTGACTCCATGACAACCATGAGTAATGTATGGAAGGAAATCAACAAGATCAAAGGCAATACATGCAGTACAACACCCCACCCACATCCAGAAAGGGTAGCCTCATCTCTCCTCAATAAATGGTGTGAGGATTCTTCTCTTGATAGCCTTCCATTATCCATACGTAGGTGTTCCCTTAAATTAAGCCATAAAAACGAAATTGACTACCAGTGCAACCTTTTAGATGAGGCTGATGCACCATTTTCAAGGGAGGAACTCCTTGCAGCCATTAAGACTAGCAAATCCACCGCACCTGGGGATGATGGAATCACTTATGACATCATCCGACTTCTTGCAAAAGTACAGGTAAAGGGAAGAAATCCTCTTCTTGATCTCTTCAACTTAACCTACATGACAGGCATCTTGCCTACCTCTTGGAAACAGGCAACCATCATTCCCATTCCAAAACCAGGACGGCCTGATGAATATAGACCAATTTCTCTGACGTCCTGCCTGTCAAAAACCTGTGAAAGAATTCTCCTCACTCGTTTACTCCATCAGATCAAAGACATGATCCATCCATCTGTCTTTGGCTTTCAAAAAGGGAGAGGAACACAAATGTGTCTAGCACAGTACCTAAATGGACGTAATGCACAGTCTTCTTACTTCATAGACTTTAAGGGAGCATTCGACAGAGCCTCCCCTACTGAAATCCTCCATGAACTAACTCTTTTAGGAGTTAAGGGCAAGCTTCTGCTATGGATAAAGGATTATCTATCTTTGAGAAGAGCAAAAGTGTGGTATCAAGGCATCTATAGTGCTTATGGCGAATTGGAATCAGGCACTCCACAAGGGGGAGTGCTGTCCCCAACACTGTTTAATATACTTATGCACTCTCTTTGCAAGCTCAATGAGTTAGGAAACCTATGCAGCATCACATCCTATGCTGATGACATTCTTATTCAGGTGTTTGATAGGGGGGATTACGTTCTACAGGGGTTCAGCAAAAAGTGTGCCTCCCTTGGTCTCATAATCAACCCAATCAAAACTAAGCATATTTCCAAATCTCGTAGTTTACCTTACATTCCAAGGTTCGGTGGACAAACTATTGCAAGAGCTAACACCTACAAATATCTTGTTGTTATGGTGGCTGCTCCCCACCTCATGTCCCATAACTCACGCTTTGCTAAGAATATTGTTCAAAACATCAAGGAACGTTGCCTTGAGCATTTAAGACCATTGCAATACATTAGTAACAGATATGTAGGTGCCTCCCTGAGAGTCCTAAGGTTGATGTATATCTCCCTTGTTAGGTCCATGATAGACTATGCAAGCCCAGTTCTTAGTATGCTGCCACCGAGTGCCCTCAAACCCCTTGAAGTTTTACAGAATAAGGCCATGAGAATTATACTTGGATGCCCAGTGACCGCTAAAGTTCTCGTCATGAGGGAAGAGTTAGACCTCCCTTCTATTCACAGTCGTGTCATCCAAGTTAACACCATACTTGACATCAGGCTCCTGCAGCTTCAACCCAGACCACAAATCTCCAGTATCCTATCAAATGAGATAAATTATAGAGTCAGGCATGTCCGGCCTCGATACTCCAATCTCATACAGTCCAACTTAGAATGGAAAACTAAAACTGCTCATACTATCTTGTTCTTCAATGTATGGAACAAAGAAGCTATTAATATTCCAGATACAGTACTTACTGCTCCTTGGCACAGA